TCATCCATATCCTTCAACTTGAGACAACTATAATTTCAGATATTCTTGATTGAGTTCAAATATGATAGGCAAGTTAGTCACGATTAAGTTGATGCACGACCTCGAAATGCCTCCCGTTAGATATACTACACGGCTGGTTGCGTGCTGGAAGAAGAATTCGATTGTTATAACAGTCCTCAAACAGATAGGTCTAGTGAGTCACGTCAAAATACACGATGAGTGCGCCACTTAGGTGGTGTTATTCAGTGGCCCATCACATACGGTTCCACATATGTGAGATCGGGGCCACCCACCCCTTTGTGTGAAATCCTGGTGTGTGCGTGTGGGGACCAGGCCGCGCACGTGGCACGCGCAGACAGTCTGCTAGATACCTCTCCCAATGCAAGTATCAGTTAGTTGACCGGCTCGGACAATCAATTAGTGGACGGGGAAGGGAAGAGAGAACGAGTTAGGTCGATTCCCACCGCGTTTTGTTCACTATAAACAACCAATCGCGCCTGAGATCATCACGGTGCGCCAAAAGTCGTGACCTAGAAGATTGACAACTGAAGACTCAACTCGGATCTCGCAGTCAGATCTATGCGTGTTTGTGTGGAGCGACCTACCGCTAGACTGGAAGTCGGACTGCAATGGCCCCTTCCTACTGTGGCCTTTATGGCACTCCCACTCAGCTGAGATCTGACTCACCACATTTTCTCCTTGTGTGAAATCCTAGTTGTTTGCATGCAAGCGAGAGGGTGTGTTGTCCCGCCTCGATGCGGATAGGCGCCACGCCAATCGACCGTCGATTCCGACTATTTCCACCGTGTGCTCCACAACAACATGAGGCAGGGACGGTGACTCGCGCGTGATTTAGTCTATAGTGAATTTAAACTTGCGCAGCATCTACCGCACAATCTTCCCCACTCCCCATCGGGGCCCAGTGCCCAGACAGAGTCAGGAAGACCGGAGGCGGGGGAGAGCACGGGTGGATAACACGGTCGAGTCCGCACCTTGGCGTTCCACCCCAAACCCCCTGGTCCACACAGCAAATGACCAGGTTTTTGACCAACAACAACAACGACATCCCAGCAGGGGTCGAAAGGACGAGGATGACTGGGCGGCCATGCCCACCACCTGTATACACAGTGGGAGCGCATGCGCATCTACCAGGGGGGACCAGGTGTCAGCGAACTGCCAACGCATACCAGGCTGCGAGAGCCATGGCTTGCTGATATTGGCATAGCACACGCTTTCAGGCCTTTTGGCATGGAAGGGCGACAAGTGGCCCTGCGTTTAGCATTGGCCGTCACCCTTCAAGGCTTGGTAGACAAACAGTCGTCGGCTGAGAGGCACTAAATATAAAGCACACACAAACACTCCTCACATGTATGAGAGTGTCACAGATCGCTTGAGAAGGAGTCTTGACAGTCTGTCTCTCAGCCCACCAGTCCGCCACTACAAACAACACACAAATAAACAGACTGTGTGGACTGAGTTGGGACGTCAGTCGGCTGCCTTCCGAGCCACGGCGCTCGACGCACCGGCTTTGTCTCAGACTCGGATCACACATGCAGTAGGGGTGCCGCATGGAGAAGGAGCTGAGACGCACACTTCCCACTTTTGTGAAGGGTAACAGTTGAGTGTTGCGCTAAGTCATGTTGATGTGCGGTAAGCTGCTGGTGAGGGAGGATGCGATGGTGTAGTGCAGTCGGCGGTTGTCTACTTCAGGCTTTTGTGGACACGTATGTAGCCTAATAGACCCATGCGGTGAATAAATGTGCGAGTGCAATGTGGGCAGTGAAGGCGGATGCGGCGAGTGTAGGTTGGTGTTCCAGGCACTAGTTCGCCAGTCTCTGTGCGATAGATTCGCAAGTGACCGACCAGTCAGATGCGTGAGGTGAATGTACGGAGATAGTGAGAACATGAGAAGTCGGCGGTGTCAGTAACAGCTTAGGTAATGGAGACGGTGGAACCGGTGACAGTGGGCGCGCTGGGCGGCGGAGTGTGAGCCGGGCTAGGCGTGGTGGATGTGCTAGGTGCGTCGGTGCCGCGGTCAATTCCGCTCTCGTTGATACGCATGCGACCGAATAGACCCATGCGATGTGTGAATGTGCGTGGCAGCGTGGACAGTGGAGGCGGATGCGGCGGGTGTAGACTGGTGTTCCAGGCCCTGGTTCGTCCGTCTCTGTATGATGGATTCGCGAAAGTGACCGACCAGTCCGATGTGTGAGGTGAAGGTGGGACAGCAATGAGGAAAGGTATAGACCGGGTCCTCATCACTGGTGTCTGATTGTGGTGTTGGTATTTGTCAGTGTGTCAGGATTGTGCGTCATGTTGATGTGCGTGGCAGACGCCACAGAGGCAGGCGTTGAAACAGATGATGATGATGATGATGATGATGATGATGATGATGATGATGATGATGATGATGATGATGATGATGATGATGATGATGATGATGATGATGATGATGATGATGATGATGATGATGATGGAAGTGGTGGCTCGGGAGAACGGTCAGCTAGTTGGTGGTTTTGGTGTTTGTTAGCGTGTCAGGGTTGCGCGTAGTGTTGATGGGCATGGCAGACGCCAGAGCGGCAGACGTTGAGGCGGTAGAGGAGGAGGATGATAATGGTGGTTTGGGAGAGCGGTCAACGTTAGTTGACGTCATGGGGGGCGAGAGAGAGAGCTGGACGGAGAGACGACGGTTGGTGCGGTTCGAGTGCTGCAGTTAGTCCGGTGTCCAACAAGTCCACTTGGCGCCCGGCATGTTCGTTGGCATCGTGGACACGTTGGAGGCGGCAGCGTCTGTTGAGATTTGCATATCTCGCGTTTGGCTTTGGCGGCCGTGATGTGGTTGGCTTCGAAAATTGCTGCGCCTGTCTTTACTGTTCTCCTCCACGTAGGTCTGCCCGGGCGAGGTCTTCCCAGTTTGCCGGGTTGGCCTGCAGGCGCTTCAGGAAGATTTTCAGAGTATCCTTGTAGCGCCGGACCTAACCTCCTTGTCGGCGTTAACCCGTCGCGATATCTCCACAAAAGAGTCGTTTGGGTTGCCTCTCATCGTCCATCCCTACGAGGCTGCCGCTCCAGCGTAGTTGTAGTTGCCTCAGCAGGGCGAATATGCTGAGGATCCCGTCCGCTCCAGTACGTCCATGTCTGGGATCCGGTCCTGCCACCTCAGCCTCAGTATTCAACGAAGACAGCGGAGCTGGAGTTGGCTGAGTCTACCTGCCTGCTTCATGTACACCGTCCAGGTCTCTGCTCCATACAGCAACGTCGGTAGGATTGCGGTCTTGTACATCTTCAGTTTTGTGCTGAGTTAAGACCGTGAAAATCTCAAACTGTGTTTTGAAGACGACCGAAGGCTTGACTTGACGTCGAAATCCGGCGGGCCACTTCATCGTCGATTTTGATGCCGTGAGAGAGGGTGCTGTCCAGATTCGTGAAGTTGTCCACCACTTACAGTTGGACGCCGTTCGCGTTGATTTGAGGTGCGACGTAGGCAGCGTCGGGTGTCGGTTGGTGCATGACCACCGTCTTCTCCGTGTTGATGATCAGAGCGAAGTTCTTGCAGGCGGCGGGGAAAGATCCAGGCTAGATCGCAGTTCATAGCTAGGACCCGTATTACAGATGGGGGGGGGGAAGTTGTTTACTGGGGCTATTTTGTGGGGCTCCATAATCACATCTGACCCCTTTGGCTTCCGTTTTACGTTTGAGGTTAGGATTAGGGTACTGGTTAATGGTTTCCGATTTTCGGGTTAGGGTTATGCCTTTAGGCTTAGGTTTTCGAGTTACGGTTAGGCTTTGAGCGTACGATTAGGTTTCAGTATTATGATTAGGTTGTTGGTTTCGGCAATGTCTGAGGGTTACGGTTACGTTTACGATTTCGGTTAGGGTTAGGGTTGACGTTAGGATTAACGATTAACGTTTAAGGTTGATGTTAGGGTTAGGGTTAAGATTAGGATTAGAGTGAAGGTCGCCGTCCGCTTCCCCATTTCTAGTTACCAACTGCGATCTGGGCGAGCTCCATTATCCTTTGCACGTCTTCTTCAGTAGTTGCATCAAGGGCGCAGTCATCGGGGAACAGAAGCTCGTGGACGGTGGTTGTGGAGACACGCGACTGGAAGTGCATCCGCTGCTGATTGAGGTGGTGGCCGTCCGTCTTGGAGGCGACGGGATCCGGGGGCGTTTGTCACGTTAGGTGTCCATCAGCATGGCAGAGAACATGAGACTGAAGAGGGTGGGCGCGAGGACGCAGCCCTGTTTCACTCCGTTGGTCAGTGTGAATGTCCCTGGACAGCTCCGTTGTCCGTGACGCGCGCCATCATGCCATTGTGGAGCTGACGCACCATCTGAGTGAATCGTTCGGGACAGCCGACTTTCTGCATGATTTTCTACAGTCCTTCGCAATTCACCGCGTCGAAGGCTTTCGTCAGATCCCCGAATGTAGAGTACAGGTGGATCCGCATCTCCTGACCGATGACGAAAAGCACGTCCTGGTCCCACGATGATGGCGGAAGCCGCATTGCCTTTCGACAAAAGCCCTTGTTTCAGGTGATTATTCAGGCAGTTGAGAAGGATGCGAGTGAGCATTTTCCTGGCGATATTCAGCAAAGAGATGCTTCAATAGTTGTCGCAGATTTGGCGGTTTCCTTTCCCTTTGTATAGATGTACGATTGTGGCGCCCTTGAAATCCTGCGGGACTTCTCCTTGACGTCATATCTCCTGGAAGAGGGCCGTCAGATGCCGTATAAATTGGGGGTCGCCGTGCTCATAGATCTCAGCAGGGATCGGGTCCGATCCGGGCGCTTTCCCGCTGGAGAGCTGCTGCACGGCCCTGATGGTTTGGTAGAGAGAGAACGGGGGAGGGTCGAGGTTGGCGCTGGGCCCCACATGAGGCAGACGGGCGATAGCGGCGTCGGAGATAGTGGAGGGATGGTTGGAGACGCCTCGGAAGTGCTCGGCCCATCACTGTAGAATTGGTGTCTTCTCTGTGAGTAGAGTACTGCCATCGGCGCTGAGAAGAGGATCAGTTACTTTGGTTGGCGGAACGTAGGCAACTTTGATCGCGATGAAGAAGTTCTTCCATACGTTGCGGTCTGCGCAACCTTGGATCTCCTCAGCCTCGCGAGCCTCCCAAACGTCCTGCGCCTCTCGGAGCCGCTGTTGCACGAGGCGGCGACTATGGCAGAAGGCTGCCTTGTTGTCATCGATGGGACGATTTACGGAGGCTTTTGTTCAGGCGGTTCTCCTCGGCGAGCAGGCTGCTGATGACGGCGTCGTTGTCATCAAGCCAGTCCTGATGTTGGCGGAGTACGTGAGCGAGGGTGGCAAGAGTTGTTGATTGGACTGTGTCCCACAGTTGGCACCATCGGTTGTCTACGGAGGCGTTCTCGTCAGAGGCGGCGGCGCCAGCGGCGACTGGAAGATTGGTTAGTCGTTGAGCTAGCTCGTCATTGAAATGGAGATGGTGAGCAGGCAAAGACAAGAAAGCAATATTCAGCTTACTTGGTGGTCGCTTACCTTGAGGTCTCCTGCGAGGCTGTAGATGAATCCGCATCTTGGAGATGACGAGACAATGGACGGCCCACACTTCGGCACCCGGAGTAACCTTTTTCACCAGCACGTCTCGCTGGTCTCGTCTCCGGACAGGGGCATATTCCAGCAGGTGCCAGCTTCGCGACCGAGGGTGCATCCGGGTGGCCTTCTCTTCCACTGGGAGGCGGAAGTAGGTGTTGATCACGATGAGGCGGTGTTCTGCGCAGGTTCGTAGAAGGAGTAGGCCATTGTCATTGGAGCCGTCGCGACCATGGGGACCCAGCACTCCTCTCCAAGAGGCATGGTCTGGGCCGACGCGGGCGTGGAGTCACCAAGGACAATCAACTTGTCCGCCTTCGATACAGTCGCCAGGAGGGCGTGCAGGTCCTAGTATAATTTGTACCTTGCGGCGTCATGGCTGGTCATTGGTGGAGCGTAGACACTGACGATGATGGCGAATTAGCCTCCGCGGAGAGGCGGGCGGGGGCTCATCAGGCGATCGTTGATGCCCTGCGGCAGACAGGACAGTCGTCATATGATGTCGTTCCTGATGGCAAAGGCGAAGCTCGCGTCCTGTCGCTCTGTCTTGTGTTGGCCGGTCCAGAAGAATGTGTAGCCGGCAATCACCTTCAGTTGGCCTTGTTCGGAAAACCGGGTTTCGCTGAGTGCTGCGATTTCCACCTTGTAGCGCACCAGTTCCCGTGCAAATAGCGCCGTTCTTCGTCCCGGTCGGTTGCTCCTCGGATTGTCTAAAAGGGAACAAACATCAGAGGCTGACAGAGTGAGCGGACTCACCCTGCCAGTCTGGCGAGTGGGGCTGAGGGAGGTGGTGAGGAAAGAGGGAGTGTTGTTTCTGGTTTGGTTGTTTCGACCGTGAGTTTTGCGTCTACGGCCACTTTCAGCGCTCAGATTACGTGATCCCAGCATTTGTTTAGGGCAACTTTTTTAACCCCTTCCCGCCTACGGGGGTGAGCAGTGCTCTTCCTAAATAGGGCTGTTCAGTTATCCCAGACGGCTGCCGAACTCCACTATGGGCCATGGCTTTTGTTTAGCGGGAGAACGACCCGAGTTAGCCTGGACCTGCCTATGACAACGCCGTAGATCTTGCATAAGGAGAGGGGGGAGGAGGGATGAGGGAAGGGTAGAGAGACGGGAAGCAGAGCTTTCTCGTCCCTCTCCAGGCTAACTGGTTGCTCAAATACACTCAGTGAGTATAAAATTTGACAGAACGGCATTTAGCTTACCGTAAGATTGGACACGAACAAACAGACAAAAAAGCAAGCAGGCAAGAACAGCAAAAAGCAAAGACACCAGAGGAAGTTCAACAGAGAGGCACTTAGCTTTTAACAAGGACAGACACGGAAGCAGATAGAGAACAGGCAAAAAAGAACAAGCGATCAAAGGGCAGCAGAGCAACGTCCGCTTACCTGGAGGCTCGCTTGCCTTGTGGCCTCCTTTGGTGTTCCAGACGGAGCCTTGCCTCGGCGATGGCGATGCGGTGACCCATCCGGCCAACGGAGCCGAGATTACCGTGTCCGGAGATGCACACACGGATAATCTCATCTGGTTTAACCAACCGGTCGAGGCGGTTCCCGGGATATGGCCGCTAGGCAGAGCCTAGCTTTGGGGAGTCACATGTGAGAGTTGAATGCCAGCAAATTGATGCTAGTCGCAGTCTACACCTGCAAACAAGCGAGCGACATGTAACGGCCGCTCCAGCGTCCCCTTCTCCGGCTCCATTTTGTCAGTTTATGACTGCGACCACCGTTGACAGGCTTTTGACACACGGTCACCACCGCCGGCTAGAACTGGGCCACCTCTTGTCCAGCTGCAGTGACTCCCGGCTGCCCTCACAAACTTTCATCACCTAACGCGCGTCGGACGACCTGGTTTGATACTCGTGAGCCCTTGGGAGAATGCGCCCCTCTATTCTTCCCCTAATCCGTCAAATCTCATGACCAACACTCCGCGGACATAGACATTCTCTCCTGCGCAAACAACACACCCCTGCTGACGCTCACCGGGAACGGACGCTTAGCTCTGTCACAAGCAAACAGCCAACTCACAACAACCTGTCCTGTGCACAGAATAAACCTCTTCTCACAGCTGCCTGACTTCTCACATGAGACGGAACGAAGTTATTGTGTTCGGTTACAGTTGATCTTACATTCTTGACCGCCACAGACCTACTACGGCGTCACGTGGACCAAAAGCTGGACACCCCTACATCCTCGCCGCGCCAGTAATCTGCGCCCTTTCCCGCTCCGGTCTGATTATTTCCGTCATGGCGCGGAGCCCAGGTGAGTGGGGGGGAGGAGAGAGTGCGGCAGATGCAGAGCAAGTCTACTAGCATTATAAACTGATTCACGCTCAAGTCATCACCCCTTTGCTCACCCTGTTGTGCGGCACACTGTGGACGTCATCGGCCCCGGTGTTCGAACTGTCGCCAACTCTGCGTTCCAGCCAGCACTTCTGTTCTGCATAGTGTTCGGCTGGTGCGTAAAAGGGGGATTTGTTTCGACCTAACATGTAAGTAAACCGACTACGCATTCACAACAATAAGAAAACAACAATGGTCTCAGATGCAGCTTTGAAAGCGGGTTTAAGCTAGAATTCCAGCATTTTTGGAGTCGAATTGGCATCAAGTTGAATCAGCCGTAGGGTTGGAATGTCCTCCCCGCCGCGAGGACTAGCGAATTGGATTCGGATATGGGTCCGTCAGAGACCCTCGGGAAATTGAAGCATTTGCCGTCGCTGTACCAGCTATAATTGCCTCTGACTCTTGATGAATCTTTGAGGTCCCCTTTTACCCTCTGCGTTCTTTGCAGTCGAATCATGTAACACGTTCTACATACTGTCAAGAAATCAAAAATTTCGTGTTTGGCAGTTAAGATTTTATTAAATGTTTCAACATTGGCGCCTTGAAGTCGACTAATTTACTGTTGACTTTAAAATGAGATTCAAGACTCCTCATGAAAACAAAATAACCGAGGGGAAAGGGTGCAAAGCTTTCTTAGATCTTAAGTCCTTGTGTGTTTATAGACTACCGGTGTAGGAGCCTTTGTCAATCAGCGCATAAAAATATCATACTCCGGGTATTCCGAATGATAGAGAACATGCGCGGCCCAGGTAATTGAATAGAAGAAGAGGGGAAGGCAATAAATACGTCACTTTGAAAATCAGCCTAGCTGTTAATCTTATTGAGTATTCATTGGACGACTTTTACTATTGCTTGGTTTGCATCGTTTGATGGAAATTCGCGATGTGTTAGAATGGCGTGAAGGCCAGCCAAAAAGGCCTTCTGTTCAAGGCAGTTGAGTGTGCATAGGATACCGTGACGCATCGATGCAACACAAATTTGAAATATCGAGTATGCTTACTTGAATTTCCCAAGTAATATTAAATATATTCATTTGCGGAAATGCGAAACACAAAAAGGAGTTATGACGGCTCATTAAATAAGCCTCCAAAAATTCTGTATTCCGGAAGTATTTTTGAAAATGCTCCCATAGTAGGAACTATTCATCCATTTCTCCGGAAAGGTTGGATCACCTCCCGAACCCAAGTTCTTTTTCTGAACGTATTTTACGAGCGTCCGATCACCATGGTCGTACGGGTACAGATCTAATGAATTATTTGCAAAACTACCTTAACTTAGCCTTTTCTTACGCCACTAAGGATGACAGCTTTTTATGTCTACAATTTATTAACAATAAGTAATCAGGACTGGATAAGTCGGTGCAAAATGCAGATGGACGTTTACGGCGCATACCGTGGTCTTGCATAACTACAGAAATGAAAATATCCTAGCCATAATTGGCCAGTTAAAAGCTAACCCATGCTCAAAATAACTTTGAAAGTCAGTAAAACTGCCTTTGAACTGGGCATACTTGTGCAGTTTGTGGATGATATCTGTAAGCTAGTTCTTATGGATTTCAGAGTCAAAGTTCTGGTCTCATAGCTGTTGGGCGTCACTGCTGACGTGACCCGACAGATGTTATTTAATAACGACTAACTTAAGAGTTATGACTGATCGAATTGTATGTGAACCAAGGAAAATCAGCAACCGACTGGTTAGAAAGAAGAGGAATATGTGCGCCACGTGAGCGTTTAGGGCATCTTATTGGCATACTTCGTAGCACAAAGAACCACTTAAAAGAAGCCCGATTAAATGAAGTGCTCCTTCGAACCCACATTTATAAAACCCGAAATAGGAGGACACGAAATTGACGGGGCGTCGTTCAATAAAAGAAACCCAGGAGGTCAAACGCTGGCGAGATGCGGCAAAGGAAATTCTGAGATTTGAACGTGACTTACTCACTTCGGTGTCAAGTGGTCCAGCACGCCGTCAGTGCGAACATTATTAATGTCAGTTGAGAGAGCTTGGGTCAGTAGCTGAGTTGCCGGGACGTTGAGTGCCAGCCCTTCTTGAAGCTAGCGTTCCGGACTAAGAACTCCCGCCTCCCGGCTCATAGGACAACAGCTAACAGATGGAAATGATTACTGTGGTTTCCAAGCGTTTGCCGTTTCGTAATTCAACCACACATAAAATATCTATAAAAGTGCGAGAATCGACAACAAAAAGTTTCCGAAAGCAGCGGTCGGGGAGGCAGAGTTGGCAATGGACGATCTCTTACCAGAAGTATGTTCCCTTGCTGAAGTAAAGGCAGTCCAATTAATTCTTCTCTGACTTTCGATTTCGGAAAATTCTTGTTCTCGACTATCGAATTTCGATAATTGGCAACCATTTATGAACATCAGTCTTCGTTCCTCCCAATCGTCGACATGGCCAGGTGATGACAATGTGCAATTTCCCAGCACACAGTGGCACCCGGTTTTGACTTTCTCTTGGCCCCCAAACTCCTTCAGATGGCCGATCGGCTTCACTAGGCCCTCACCCATCCCACTTCCAACATCCTCAACTTCTCCTTTCTCGGACCGTTCTTCATCCCGCATATCACCGTCTAGCCGGCAGGTCCAGCATACTCCTTAACTTTGCCCAGGACAGCCATTACCTGCTACTTGCTGTATATTCCACCCTTGTTACTTCTCCAAGTACAGCCAACGTGTAAAACGGGTTGGTGCGAAGATCACTGCAGGCAGACTTCTGGGCAATTCCAGCTCCCGTCGCCACTTCTACCTCTGTTACAACCTGAGTGGCAGACTTTTCTCATTTGATACCGACATGCAGATCAGTGTCATCCTACCAACGGCAGCCGACCGTCGGGGCCCAAACTTCGGATTATCTCATCTGGCCATCAGTACTTTCTCATTTTCCACCTTCGGTTTCCGTTGCCTCTCCTTAGACATTGGAATCTGGTGTCCATTACCCGGAGTCCTCGTCTTTATTGTGGCTTTATCGTAATCGCCTGGTTAGACCACGTCAAGGTCACCCATATAGCAGAAGCTTAAGCCGAGAGTGAGACCCTAGCTACCACGACCTTCAGGAGCGATCCTAAACGGGAAGAGAAGGTGGACGCCAGTTTGGAGAACTGCATATTATATATAGAACAACCCGAGAGGGAATTGGAGGGAGCTGGCGGCCAGAGGAAAGTGTCCTGGTTCGCGGTCCTGGCGCGCATGTGCAGACACTCGCGAGAGGCCCAGCGTTGCGACAGGCGCTCGGAGCAGTTTCATACAGCTCTACTACGAAAGTAATATCATTTCGGTGAAAAAAACCTATAACATGCTTGTAAGGGAAAATACTGAAAGAAATATCATCAGGGCTCAAACACTTGCAAACTGGATAACTTTTCCAACAAAGGTGAAAAAACGAGCTTCAAACTGCTGTTAAAAAGGGAGTGGGCCGCTGCAATAATAATTTAATTCGTCAGAGTTTCTGGTCCATAAGGGGATCAATAATTAGACACAGCAACAGAAAAAAGCGCTGGGCTCACAGGAAAGCAGTATTTACAAGATGCAGTTGCTACGCACATACATACCTATCAAAATCAGCAACTCCCGCGTCAATCACACATATTACTGTCTGCTTCGACGATAATTTGTTTACCTGCATACGAGTCGCTAATGGGAGCTATTCCGGCACAACTTTTGCAGTTGCTTAGCCATTTGGCTCGCCGGTGCTGTCTTTAGAAGAAATATTCGCCCACACTGTCCTCTTTCCCCTGAACGGATAATTAGTCCGTCCAGTGGAACATCTGGGGCTCGGTCCCGCGACCTTTTAGTTAGAAGTCCAACGTCTCTAACCACTGAGCCACGGGCTCGTTGTCTTGTCGGTTGCGATCGGGAATGTACAATGGTAAACGGGCGCTCACCGATAGCTTTTTTCTACGGAACTCACTCGTCCCGATCGTAACCGACAGGACAACGAGCTCGTGGCTCGGTGGTTAGAGGATTTTGACTTCTAACTAACAGGTCGCGCGATCGAGCCCCAGGTGTTTCACACTTCGGGGCTGGGTATGACTGGCTGACGACGGCTAATAAGCCAGAAGTGGCCATTCCAGTCTCCCTTTTCTTTGTCGATAGTAACATTCTGCCTATATCATG